GAAGTATTTAGGAACTAGAGGAAAGTTGTATGTTTCATCATTACTACACTGCACCCTGACTGGCTCATCTCCTCTCCACGACCCTTCTGTAAGGGGATGAAGGACGTGTTCTTATGTGATGTTGCATGTGTCTCTGGAAGGAACACTAATAGAGGAAAGGACAACTTGGATATGAGCATTAACATCCAATTTAAGGCCACCTGTGTGCAGAAGGGAAATCAAAATAACCAGAATTTCACTGTTGGAGATTATCTGTGCTTTATACACAAATCTCTCATTATAGAAAGCTATTCTGTTTGTTGAAGAAGGGCAATTCTGGTTTGGATATCATCTTAAGCATCAGGTTAACTCATATAGCCTTTGTAAAGCTCTTTCATAACACTGATTGTTTTTTTTACCCATTCAGATTGGAATAAAAAGAGAAATTTGAGAAAATTTTAACTCCCTTAACTTTATTGCTTTTAGGTAATTTGGAGACACAATAACAAATCAGACCTAATTCATCATAATTGCTTCTTGACAAGTGACTTTCTGTGCTACTGTTCAGGGCAGTGAATCAAGAAAGCATAAATTCTAATCCAGATGACTTCCCTGCCTTTCTGGTCTAGGAAACATGAACTGAGTATTACTAAGCATGCTAAAAGAAGCTCTCGTGGACTGATGGTTAAACCTTAAAGGTTAAGTCTTAAGACTGCTGGCCTTACAGTCAGCACTGAGAATCCATCAGCTACCGGAGAGAAGAAGATGCCGTCCACCTGCTCCCATACAGATTTCAGCCTAGAAACCCCGGGGCTGCAGTTCGACTCTGCTCCTCAGCTTCACGAGGTGTTGGGTTGGAGCTCAAATTCAGAGTGCTCCGTTTGCAGAAGGCTTTGGCTACACAAGGCTTTGGCTATAGTATGCCTGAATTTTGAGTCTCCACATAGATTCAGCCTCCACCGAGTTCCTTCTGACTACTGCCTAGCAATGTGAACAGCTTTACCCTCGAGCTGTTGTTGCTGGGTGCCATCGCGTTGTTGCCAACTTCACGTCCAACAGAGCGAAACACTGCCTGCTCCTGCACCCTCCTCACAATTGTTCTTATCTTGCTTGCTTTTCAAAAATCACTTTATTGGGGGGGGCTCTTACAAATCTTATAACAATCTACCATTCAATGGTATTAAGCACACGTGTACATATGTTGCCAGCAACATTTCCAAAACAGTGTCTTTCTACTTGAGCCCTCGGTATCAGCTCCTCTTTTTGCCCCTCCCTCCCCCAACCACCCACCTCACAATTGTTCTCCTGTTAAATGTTCCTTTTCTGTAGCCACTGTGCCAGCCCATCTCTTCAAGGGTCTTCCTCTTTTTAGCTACCCCTCTACTTTACCAAGCGTGATGTCCTTCTCCAAGCAGTGGCCTCTTTTGAGAACATGCCCAAAGGACAGGAGAGCAAGTCCCTCCAACATTGCTTCTAAGAAGCTCTGGTTGAACTTCTTCCAAGACAAATCTGTTTGTTCTTTCGACTGGCCGTGGTGCTTTTCAATATTCTCCGCCCACACCATCATTCAAATGCATGGATTCTTCTTCAGCCTTCCTTACTCAGTGTCCCGCTTTCACACGCACAGGAGGTGAGTGAAAACCACTCTGGTTGACGTTGCTTTACTGATTGCAGGTGCTACGTACTGTGCCTGTGGGCAGGCTTTGGCCTCCCCACCCACTCCCATCCCTGACTGGTATTGCTGCCAGTCCTGCAGGTCTGTGCGGATCCATGAATGGCACTCTCTGTTCCACAGGATGGGGTTTGTTAAAGTGGTCAGAAACAAGGCCTACCTCAAGAGACACCCAATGAAATTTAGAAGACGCTGAGAGGGAAAAACTGATTATTCTGCTCGGAAATGGTTGGTAATCCAAGATAAAAATAGGAACTACACCCCCAAATACAGGATGATAGTTCATGTAGCCAACAGGGGTATCATCTGCCAGACAGCTCTGCCCGGCTAGAGGAGAAATGATTGTCTGGGAAGCTTATGGTCACCAACTTCCCAAGTATGGGGTGAAGGTTGGCCTGACCAGTGAGCTGCACCATACTGTACTGGCTGGCTGCTGGCCCACAGGCTTCTGAATAGGTTTGGCATGGACATAATATGAAGGCCAAGTGGAGGTAACGGGAGATGAACACAATGTGGAAAACATTGATGGTCAACCTGGCACCTTCCCCTGCTATCTGGATGCTGGCCTTGCTGGGATGAGTAGACAAAGGTTTATCTGTCCCTCATAGTCCCAAGTGATTCCCTGGATATGATTCAGAAAGCAAAGGATTCAATGCAGAAGTACATTAGAAACACATTATGGGTCAGAACAACTATCTCAATACATAAAGAGCAATGTAACTCCTGACATGATGGAGGAGATGTATAAGAAAGCACAAGCTACTCTATGAGAAAATCCAGTTTATGGAGAAGAAGCCTAAGAAAGATGTTAAAAAGAAGAGGTGGAAGAATCAGTCCGACCCCCACCATGGAAGGGAGTGCCACAGAAAATGAAAATAGATTGTTTGGTGAGGGAAAGGAACTGACCTACCATACGCAGAAGGAAGCTGAAGCAAATGAAGTAGGAGGAAGGGAGTGGAGCACACCCGGGCCCACCAAGCTCAGAGGACGACAGCCCGGCTTGGAGTGTCCAATACACAGAGAGGATCATGTGGCCGGCCCCACTGCAAGATTCGACATCTTGCACTAACCCATGGCCCAACATGGGACAGCACTGGAGACACAGTGTGGGATGTGTGACCGAGCTGACCCCACCACACTAAGGCAAAACACTGGGGGCGTGCAATAGAGTGGCGGGGGAAGCAGAGCAAGGAGTCCCAGGGGAGTATCAAGGATGGACTTTGGGGCCAGGGCAGGGCACCCCATCAGACTTGTCTGGAAAACACTCCTAAAGGTCAACAAACAGACCTTGAACTATTAACAGGCTTTTCTTTTCTTTCTTTCTTTCTCTTCTTTTAGATTTTGTCTGTCAGCAGCTTCTTTGTTTGTTAGTTTGTCGGTGTTGCTGCCGTCATCGCCGTGTTCTTATGTGCCACTTTGTTTGGTGCTGTCGAGGCCATCCACGATTTTATGTGCATATTATTATCTCTGCAGGTCTATCTAGATAAGATGGGCTGGATAAACAATGTGGAGAAGAAAACAACAGGAACAACAGGACCAATGGTCCAGGGGGGACATGGGAGAATGGAAGGTGGGGGAAGGGAAGAGGTGTTGGCCAACCCAGGGATAAGGGAACCAGGAGTGGTTCAAAACCAGTGGCAGGGAGCGGGTGGGAGGACTGGTGGGGAGTGCTCAGGGGAGGTGTAGCCGAGAGACGTTCCTGGGACCCAGATGGGGGCTGGGCATGATGGTGGGACAGGAGGAAGGCTGGGGAAGGCGGAGGAGGGAGGTGGGAGGTGGGGGGCATACATGGAGACCTGGATGCAGTCATGTGCATATGTAAATATATTTATGATTATAGGGGAGGTGTTTCTGTGTGCATATATTTAGAGGGTTGGTGGTGGGGTAGCGGATGGACATTGGGCCTCTACTCACGTGCTCCCTCAGTACAAGAACACCTTGCTCAACTAAACGGGTATTCCATGATGCCCACTTTCCTGACACGATAGCTGAGGACAAACGTGTGCATAAGTAAATGTGGTGAAGAAAGCTGATGGTGCCCCACTATCAGGAGATGTAGCATCTGGGGTCTTAAAGGCTTGAGGGTGGGCAGGTGCCCATCTGGCTCGGAAGCAGCGGGGCCCACAGTAGGGAGACACACCAGCCTGTGTGATCGCGAGGTGTCGAAGGCATCAAGTAGCAGACACCAAAGAACAAAAACCATCATTGTGTGCTAACCTTCCCCATAAAAACACTGAAGACAAATGTGTGCATAAGTAAGTAAGTGTGGTGAAGAGGGCTGATGGTGCCCGGCTATCAAGAAATGTGGCATCTGGAGTCATAAAGGTTTGAGGGTAAACAAGCGGCCATCTATCCCGGAAGCAGCAGAGCCCACATGGAAGAAGCGCACCAGCATATGTGATTACGAAGGGTCGAAGGGACCAGGTATCAAGCACCAAAGGAAGAAAAAAAAAAGCATATCATTGTAAATTAGGGGGAGTGCACAATGGGGACCCAATGCCCATCTGTAGACAGCTGGACATCCCTTGGGGGGGAGGATGTCACTCGGGGTGCAGTGTGGCATTGATGGAATACACAACTTTCCTCTGGTTCTTAGGCACTTCTTCCACCCCACCCCACCCCCACTGTCATGGTCCCAGTTCTGCCTTGCAGACCTGGTTAGACCAGAAGATGCACAGCGGTGCAGATGGGAACTGGGGGTGCAGGGAGTCCAGGGTGGATGAGCCCCTTGAGACCAGTGGTGAGAGTGGTGATGCTGGGAGGGGGGGAGGAAGGGGGAGTGGAAGGGGGAAAACGATTGCAGGGATCTGCATGTGGCCTCCTTCCTGGGGGACGGATGACAGGGGGTGGGTGAAGGGAGATGTCGGGCAGTGTAGGATATGATAAAATAATAATTTATAAATTGCCAGGGGTTTGTGGGGGAGGGGGAAGCGGGGAGAGAGGGGAGGGGGGAAAGAAAAATGAGGAGCTGATTCCAGGGGCCTGGTCGGAGGGCGAGTGTTTTGGGAGTGATGAGGGCAATGAATGTATAAGTGTGCTTTACACAATTGATGTATGTGTGGATTGTGATGAGAGTTGTATGAGCCGCAATAAAATGATTAATAAAATAAAAATGTAAATATATTATCATAAGAAAAAGAAGAGGTGGAATCATCCCAAAATGTTTCTTGCTCAGAAGAAAGATCAAGTAGCTCAGAAGAAGGCTCCGAGTTCAGGAGTGGGCTGTGGAGACCTAAGCCAAACCATCATTCCCCATGAGCGTTTCCCACAGAAAGATAGTAAACTTCTTCACCAGGAAAAAAAAGACAAAATATTATAGCTTAGGTCAGGCACTCTTGAGTCCTCAAAATGACATCCTTGCTCTTCAACACTTTAACAATGTCTGGTACAGTAGACTTACCCAATGCAACTCATCCTGGGATTTCTTGAATGCTGCTTTCACGAGCAACGACTATGGATCCAAGATAAAACCTTTGAAAAATTCCATCTTTTCTCCATTTACTAGGATATTACCCACTAGTCCAGTTTTGAGGATTTTTGTTTTCTTTACCTTGAGTTGATTGCATACTGAAGGCTGCAATCCTTGATCTTCTTCAGCAAGTGTTCCAAGTCCTCCTCACTTTCAGCAAGCAGGGTTGTGTCATCTGCATCTCACAGGTTGTTAATAAGTCTTCCACCAACCCCTGATGTCTCGTTCTTCCTTGGATGATTTGCTCAGCATACAGAGTAAATAAGTACGGTGAAAGGATACAACTCTGACACACACTTTCCTGATTTTAGACCATGTAGTATTCCTTGTTCTATTTGCACAACTGCCTCTTGATCCTCATGAACACAATCAAGTGTTCTGGAATTCTCATTCTTCTCAAAGTTATTCATAATTGAATATGATCCACACAGTCTAATGTCCTTGCATAATCAATAAAGCACAAGTAAACATCTGAAATTATCTGCTTAGAGCCAGGATCCAACTGATGTCAGCAATGATATCCCATGTTCAACATTCTCTTCTGAGTCAGGCTTGAATTTCTGGCAGCTCCCTGTCAATGTACTACTATAACTGTTGTTGAGTGATCTGAAGCAAAATTTTACCTTCATGTGATATTAATGATATTTTTCAATAATTTCTATGCTTTGTAGGCCACCTTTCTTTGGAATGGGTATAAATATGGAACTCTTCCAGTCAGTTGGCCAACTATCTGTCCTCCAAATGTCTTGGCATAGACTAGTGAGTGCTTCCAGTGCTTCAAGGGCAGGTTGAAACATTTCAATTGGTATTCCGTCAATTCCCAGAGCCTGTTTTCTGCTAATACCTACAGTGCAGCTTTTACTTCTTCCTTTAGTACTGTTGGTTCTTGATCATATGCTAACTCTTGAAATGGCTGAATGTCAAGTAGTTCTGTTTTGTTCTGTGACTGTATTCTTCCCAACATCTTTTGAGGATTTCTGCATTGCTCAATGTTGTTCCATAGAATATTTTACTTGAAGCTTGATTTTCTTCTCTAGTTACTGCAGCTTGATAAATCTGAGCGTGTCCTTCCCTTTTGGTTTTCTAACTCCAGGTCTTTGCACGTGTATTATCGCACTGTGCTGTCTTCTTGAGCTGCTCTTTGAAATGTTCTGTTCATCACCTTTACCTCATCAGAGCTCCCATTTGCTTCAGCTACTCTACAATGAAGGACAAGTTTCAGAGTCTCTTGTGACATCCACTTTCATCTTTTCCTTCTTTCCCATCTTTTATGATCAGAGACAGAAAGCATCAACGGTCTCCTGAGAAGAGCATGCTCATGTTCTTTGTCAGTGAAGTGCTTTCCCAATGGATCAAGGAAGTGTGCTTGAAAGCGGATTCCTACCACACCCTAGCCCTCCCAGAGAGAGGCATCCTGGTCCTCAGAGACTTGTCTAGGTGTGCTCTTGATAGGAATTGGGGTACTAGGGTCACACAGTCATCAGTCATACCCTGACTACCTTGTTTGGAAGGCAGTGAGCCCATCAGGTAAGCTTTTCTATCTGCAAGAGTGAGCGCATTCCCTTTCACAGTCCCTTTCCCACTTGTGTCCTGCCTGTAACTGTGGTGACTTGATCTGCTGCCAATCATGCAATCATGAATGTGAGTTTCCTTTGTGCTCCATGGCCTACGTAAGCGTCCACGTGGCTGGGAATCCTTGGACACCATTATGGCCTCATCTAAATGACTCCTTTTAGTCTTTTTCCTATTTAAGACTTAATGAGTGTGTCTCTAGAAATTATATTTGAATATGGGGTCCATTTTGGACTGCTAAGCACAACGTTGATGGTTCAAACCCACCAACCACCCTGTGGAAAAAAGATGAGTTACCTGCTCCTATACAAATGTACAGCCCCGGAGACATACAGGATTTCCTACCAGGTGGAATCAGCTCAAGGGCAGTGGTAGGGTCCCCGCTACAGCTGCTGAAATGAACTCAGTGGCACACAGCACAAACATTCTAACTACATCTGCCTCTGGGTCTTGCCCTTGATACTGTGTCGTCCTCCCCTTTCTACTCCCACTCCAGACAGAGATTAAAATAAACTTTAAAAAGAGAACCTTCTCAAGAAAAGAGATAAAACGTATCTAAAAACTTAATCAACTGCGACGCACAGAAGCTGGGAAGCAGTAAGATTTTTAATCCAAACATTGGGAATAGGTGTGCAAGCTTCTTCTCTTAGCACGCATTTGTAAGATAAAACAAGGAGTGATCCACCAAGACCTAAGGCCGCTTTTTTCCTTTCTTTCATTTTCCTTTCTCACATTACACACGGTGGCAACAACATAAAGTGGTGACATTTCAATGATAAGATCAGCAGTTCACTTTATTTTGCCTGCTAGGAATACACATCAACCCCCGACATCTATCTAACTTCCAATAGTTTGTTTTAAGCGAAAGATATATTTCTTCTAATCCTTCTAATGTAAATGCCCTAGTGATACATTTGGCTCTGAAAGAAGTTATATTTGAATTTGGAAAATATTGAGAAGACTCTCAAATGTGTCATTTCATATTATATTTTTATGATCTTTTCAGGCCTCTCAATATGAAGAATGATGTGTTTCAGGTCTCTTAAGATAAAGAAACAGCTGGCTATGTTTGCAACAAACTATGTTCGTGACAAACCTGAAGAGGCTGGTTTGTAGCACAGATACTGGGAACAAATCACTAACTAGAGATTTAATGTGACGCGACCCTGCCCCCCCATAAAAAATGTTCCTGTGGAATTGTAAATTAAATAAAGAATTAAATGTCAGGGTTTGGGAGGGCTCCATTTCCAGATTTCAGCTTAAATGAGGCACACAAGCCCAGAAGGATTCCCTCGCCCTTTATAATGTATTGGGTAAATTAGAATTAGTTAGGCCCCACCTATTCCCTAGTGAGGGTAGAACCACCGTGTTGAGAGCCAGCCTTTCTCCTGAGCCCTCCCACCAGCTCAGGACTGGCATCAAAGCCCTTCTCAGTCCTCCTCCCGGCCCACCACCGGGCCTTCCCAAAGTCACTTACAGCGGTTCATAATGACTGTTTAGTAAGCTGTGCCAGGGGACACTTCGGTATGGCTTCCACTTCAGAGCAGGAGCGTACTGGTCCACCAGCGTCGCACTCTGCCCCTCGCCGTTGTGGTCTTGCACTTCGCCACCATAACTCCTACTTGTCCCTGCAAAGACATAAGGGAGTTAACCTCTCTCCCAGGCCATCTTTCCTAGACTCACAGACAGATGCTGAATCGATCAATGTAGAGCCCACAGTGCTGGACCTGTGGCCCAGTCAGTCCAAGTAAAGTGAGCCTCAGAACTAGAGGAGATGCTGCTCAAAGATGCTCACGCTCGCCCAGTGGATTCGGACCTGGGAGAAATGCCATCTACATGGAATGAAGGCAGCACCGCGGATGGCAGAGTGAAGAATTGGGCCACCCATGTCCTGACTATAGATTTTGAGTTTGGGGATCCATTTCTAAGATTTGGGGTTACAGGAGCCAAAAAAGTGCTCCATGCCCTCTTTCCCTTTTCAGTGAATTTGAGGGGCTGTGCTCTTTGTTTCCCTACATCCCACTTTGTCCCAGGTCCCTGGGGTGTGGCCATACTGCAGATCAGCTAGCTTTTCAAACTTAGATAAGTTATTGATTCAGTTAGCGGCATCCTTCCTTGCTCTGCAAAATGGAATTAAAAGCACATGTTCCACGTGTTGTGCAACGTTACACAAGCAGAGAGCGCAAGATAATAGAAGGGACAGCACTTTCCAAAGCTAAAACCAAAATTAAATCAGAGAGAATATCTTGTTTGTAGTAATATAAAATTACCAGGTGTGGGGTAGGTCAAAAGTGGTAAAAAGCAGCATGCCCCCCATGAATGCCCTCCCACTTTGCATAATCCTTGCAATCCATGTTTGTTTTGAGTGTGCTTCCAAAGTACAGCTGAGCACCAGGTCATTCTTACATGCAATGTCAATCCTGAGCCCACTGCTGCTCGTTCCCCTTGGCCTCACTCATCTCTGACATGAGACATGGGAGGGAACTGGCAGAAGTTCGATGACCAGGTGCAGGCTGTCAGCAATGCAGAAACGGGGCACTCGTGATGTAGTGGGTTACCTATTGAACCATTAACAGCAAGGTCAGCAGTTCGAAACCACCAGCCACTCTGCAGGAGCAAGATGAGGCTTTCTACTCATGTACAGAATCACAGTTTCAGAACACCCTAGGGGCAGTTCTGCTTTGTCCTATAGGGTCGCCATGTGTCAGGATGGACTCAGTGATGGTGAGTGAACTCCTGTGGAGCATGGACTTCACCCACAGCTTGGAAAATGCAGAAGCCAATGACCGGACCTCTGGTGCCTCCTCTAACCTGCATTTCTTTCTCTCAACTTCCACTGAGAACGTTCCCCAGACAAACAACAGAGTGCCTCTGGGCTTCCTTTTGAGCTCGAATGGCAGAGAACATGTATTTTTCTTGGGGCATCACTATTAGATGTCCTATGAGGAAAAAACTTTTTTTCTTTCTTTTTATAGCATGCCTTGTTAGAAAGGTATCTTTAAATCTCGGAAGATTTCTTTTTTTCTCAACTGAGGAAACTGGAGATGGGAAATGTGGGGCACCCTTCGTGCCCTCACTGCTCTGCAAGTCAATGGCCTGGAAATGCTTCCAAAAACAACCTTTCCCTGGTTCTCCTCCTGGCACCAAATCCAGTGAAAAGTGGAAAGGAGTGTGGGAGGGCTACCTATAAGGTCAGTGGTTCAAAGCCACAAGGTGCTTCTGGAGACAGAGAAGGCTGTGTGCTCCCATAAAGGTTTACAACCTGAGAAACCCTGTATAAGGTCACTCTGAGTCAGAATTGACTCGATGACCATAGGTTTGGGGTTGGGGGTTTTCTCTCTCCTGTAATGGAGAGAGGGTAAAGGAAAGCCCAAGTGTTTGGGGTTTGGAGTCAGATGGACCCGAGCTTGACTTCCAACCGTGTACTTAATGGCTGCACACACACACACACACACACACACACACACACACACACACACACAAGTGCAATCGAGTGGATGCCAACTCCTATCGGCCTTATAGGACAGGGTAGAACTGCCCTGGTGGGTTTCTGAGACTGAAACTCCTTACGGGAGTAAAATGGCTGGTGCTTTCGAACTGCTGACCTTGCAGCTAACAGCCCAGTGTATCATCACTACACTACCACGGCTCCTGTCATGGCCATACAGTCTTAGGAAAATGGTTTCCCCATCTGCACGATGGGAGTAAGAAGGCAATACCTCCCAGGATTCCTGAAGGGAGAAAGGGGCAATGTGTGCAGAACGCAGAGCCCAGGCAGGGCCTGCCACCAGCGCCGGCTGACAGGGTGAGCCTGGTAGGTGTGGTTCGTGTACATGTTTCCTCAGGTTGCTCAGCTATTCCTGCATCTCGGCGAGTGCTTCCGTGCCTGGCCTCCGTGGGAACTCAACCTGATGTGAAATAGCACACGATGTTAGCCTGATGGAACACCTGCTCCCGCAGAGCCCTTGCCACGCCAGCCTGAAGCAGGGCAGCGAGCAGGTGGGCCGCTAAGGCTGGCCCCATTGCCCTGCTGCTGGAGGGGAGGGTCGGCAGAGGGCAAGAGACACTGTCCTGCCCTTTCCCGTCCCACCAGCCAGAGCATAGGAGGGGTCACCCCAAATAAGTGACATCGTGGGGGCTTCATCGAGCACTGGTTACCATCTGGTGAGACCCCAGGAGACAAGTCCACACTGAATTCTCGAAACATGCTTGAAACCTGTGCTGGAGCGTCCTCATATTATTAATCGGAATCATACTATAAACCTCTACTGGGTGCTTTCTGTACCCCAACTACTGTTCAGAAGCTTACCTGGTAACTCTTTAAGTCACTGGCAAGGTAAGGATCCTTTTTCCCCCTGATAACCCTTTTTTTTTTTTAATTTAAGTTGAAGTATAATATACTTTCTGATAAAAAAAAATTTAAGTTGAAGTAGGATAAGTCCATGAGTACAGGAGTGCACCACAGTTGGATGGTCTTTTATAAAATGAATTCATGTAACTACTGTTAGCTCAAGGACTAGGCGGCCAAAGCAATGATTTGTGCTAAGAACCTAAAGGTTGGCAGTTCAAACCCACCAGGAGGTGCTATGGGAGAAAAGCCTAGCAACAAGCCTTCGTAAACATTACTGCCAAGTTAACCCACTGGGGCGGTTCTTGCATGGGATCGCTATGCGTGGGAAGCTGCTTGGTAACTGAGCTTGGGTTTTGATGTTACTACCTGCAGGGCATCAAATTATCTCTGTCACTCCCACCACGCAAAGGTCCCAGTAAGAGAAGGTAAGAAACGATACCGATAAGTTTCACTTGTGAGTTCTCTGTAACTGGATTCTTTGTGAGGGTCATCCCGCCAGGGATCAAATGAGCCATCTCAGAAGCAGAAGTGGGGATCTCACTATCAGCAACAACTTCCTTCACCCAGGAAGCCAGCTTTGCCATCTGAGGGATAACATGAGGAGCGGCATTCGAACTTGGAGCCAGCCCCCAGAACACATAAAGCTGAATGCCCTGGGCGCTTCATTCAGGAAGCTGGCTTTGCCAAACCGAACCGTAGAGTTGGAACTGGAGTGGGGTGCCTCTGGGTATTTGCTTCAGAGAGGTGGCTTTGCCTGAACCCAAAGATGGAGCTGAGTACTTGGCGGTTGAGGCTTACAGCAGTCACATGCCCTTTGGACATTTACTGGTAGCCCTAAAAGAACTTTGTAACATGTTCTCACTGAAGGACTGCATCCTGTTTCTCACCTGTGAATTTCCATCATAAACCTCTTCACCGTAAGCATTGCCTGTGACTTCCCTGTGATCACTGAGAGGAATTCTAGAACCCAGCTGAAAAGTAGCGCTATGGAGGATGCTGTGGGGGCAGAGCGCCACCCCAGAAGCCTCCCCCCCAACCCCCTTCCAATACCTACTCCCTTGGGCCCAAGAGTAAACCTTCTTCTAAAACCTAACACCATGGAGGGGTTCAAAGAAATTGAAGCATGCGATATGCATTCAAAAGTCATTATTATTACAAATAACAGCAGTAGATTCATTTCTATTGCTATGCTATACGGAATAGTTCTCTTATTTAATTTCTTAAAAATTATCTTAGTTTTTTTTTATTAAATGCTTTTATTGGGGGCTCTTACATCTCTTATCACAATCCATACATTCATCCAGTGTGTCAAGCACATTTGCACATATGCCGCCATCATAATTTTCAAAGTATTCTCTTCCCACTTCAGGCTCTGATATCAGCTCCCCATTTCTTCCCCCTTCTTCCTTCACACCCCGTCCCTCAGTAAAGCTTGATAAGTTATAGATTATTTTTTGCATATTTTACATCGTCCTCCGTCGCGCCTCACCCACTTTCCTGTTGTTCGTCCCCCAGAGAGGGAGTTCTAGGTTGATCCTTGTGATCGATGCCCCCCTCCTCCCCACCCCCAATACAGAATATTTCATTGTGTGACTCTACCACAACAGAGCCTTCTGTGGATGGCCAGTTAGGTGATTTTCATTTGGGGCTATTATAAGTCATGCTGCTGTACACATCCTGTGCACGTCTTTTGGTAGGCATGCATGCACATTTCTGGAAGGTGTGTTCCTGGAAGTAAAATCTCTGGGTCATGGATAAGTTTTGGTAGATGTTGCCAAACAGATGTCTGAAGTATTTAGGAGGCAAGGCGCCTTCATCTCATTTGACGCATGTGGATGCTGAGTTGACCTGAAATAAGCTGCCCAGTGTCGCAGCCGCTGTGGCTCTTTCCCTTTCCTTTCCCGTTCATGTTTTCCAGAGAATTTATTTTTCTTTTCTTTTCTCTAATTTAAATCGTTTTATTGGGGGCTCTTATAGATATTATAACAACCCATAATCAATTCTATCAAGCAAACTGCTGCCATCATCATTTACAAAACATTACCTTTTTGCTTGAACCCTTATTATCAGCTCCTCTTTTTTCCCCTCCCTCCCTCACCCTCCTACCTTCATGAACCCTCGATCAATTATTTTTCTTTCTTTTTTTTTTCTTTAAGAATTTCTTGAGAAGATCTAACAGCAAAAAGAAGCAGAGGTGTCACCACAGCAAGCTGCTCTGGCCCCAGCCTTTGGGAGGAAACTGAGAGCTTGTATCTGACTACCTTTTAAAATATTGTCTTGTGCATTGCTTTATTTAAAATAATCTTCAAGATGAGGAAAGCCGAGTTTAAGATTGCTACTTCACCATCAGGAAAAGGGAGGCTCAGAGCGTCTCCTGTTGCCGGGGAGAGGAGGAAGACACCTTTACTGACCCTTCGGTGTGAATTCAGCCCAAACCTTTCCTACTGACCTTGAGGAGCCCTGGGTGTTTGTGGCGACAAGTTGGACTGCAATCAACAAAGTCAGCAGTTCAGAACCTCCAGCTGCTCCTCAGGAGCACAGTGAGGCTCTCTACTCTCAGAGTTACACTCTAAAATGCAGAGTGGCAGTTCTGCCTGCCTTGTGGGTGCTGTAGGTTAGCAGTGAGTTTGGAGTTTGGGGAGATTCCCAGCTTACACCAGGTGGGACTAAAAAGCCAGTGGCGAGCCCAGGTGATACCGGGAAGCACTGTGCTCCAGAGCTGCTCCGGGGAGCCGATTGCCAGAGCTTCCTTCCAAGGTACCTCTGAGTATGGTCCAATGGCCCGGCTTTGGGTTAGCAATTGAGCACCTCCCAGTGACTCCATGTTGGGTCAGAAACCCTTGGAAACTTGGGGTTCAGGCCAGTGGGGCCCAGAACCAGCCAGCAGGAAGGAGTCTGCCCACTCGATGCTTCCCACCTAAGTAAAGTTTCTCATCTGCCCACACATTCTTCTCTGTGAACCCTAGAAAGGAGAGGCTGGCGTCCAGGGCTGAAGCACACTGCTTGGGCAAAGGTCGCCCAGAGAGTCTCGCCAACGGATGTAGAATGCTTCTCTCCCATCAAAACCCAGCCGTTCTCCTCCTGCCCAACCAACTGACCGCCATCCCCGGCCCTTTGGGACAACCTCTAGCCCCTGTAATGGCAAACTGGGGTTCTCCACCAGGAAACTTTTTGCTGAAAATTGAAGCAGTGATTAAAACGTGGAATCTGGAGCAACACGTTTTGCTTGCCTTTTGCCCTCCACTTTCTGTTCCTGTTTCGTTTTGGTTTTCGACCCTGAGCACCTGCTTGTTTTGATTCTGCAAGTGTTGCCTGGAACCAAGGATGTCTAGCCAGCTTTTCAGAGGTTCTTGACCAGGACACAAGTAAGGATGCCTGCCGTTTGGGACAGTGGCTCCTCTTCTATGGCTGTTGGCTGGAGGCCGTGAAAACCAGTGCCTTCTCAGGAAAGCCAGCCAGCCAAGGTTGGAGCTTTATCTTGGACTGGCAGTAGGGCTTGCTGGAGACTTGCCCAGCCTCCCTCAGAGAGTCGAAGCAGCTGTAGGAGCCTGAACAGATGGTTCGCTCGCCTGGCTAGGAATTTACTCCGCCTTTTGTGTTTGCGAGTCACAAAGAGGCCGTTGGGTGGATGTAGGGATCCCTGAAGACATTCGGGTAGCCTGCTGGGAAGAGTCATGGAGAGCTCTATATTACTGAAACGACACCAAAAGTGAGCCACTAGGTCAGCGCTTCAAACCTACCAAGCGCTCCATGGAAGACAGGTCTACTCTGTAAAGATTTACAATCTCAGAACCCCTAGGGCCAGTTCTACTCTGTCCTATAAGGTGGCTATAGGACACCTTACACTGAAAGAGGCTTTGATTTGTATTTTGTATTTCTAGGCTTGAAAAGGAAATGCCAAGCAACTGCTGGCAGCGGTGGGTGGAGCCGTGTCAAACAAGAGGAAGCAGTAGGGATGTAGTGAGGGCCGGCTGCCAGTGCCAAAGGAGCCCTGGTGGCATAGTGGTTACATGTTGGGCTGCTAACCATAGGGTCAACAGTTTGAAACCACCAGCTGCTCCACAGGAAAAAGGTGAGGCTTTCTACTCCCCAGAAGAATGACAGTCTCAGAAATACACAGGGACAATTCTGCCCTGCCCTACCTACCCGTTTGGGTCGCTATGAGGCAGCATAGACTTGATGGCAGTGGGTTTGATTTTTCTTCTTGATTTGTTATTTTGTTTTACTTTATTGTTTTGAGAGCAGGAGGCGAGAGGGAAATTTTGAACTCCTCACCAGGCTGACAAAAATGGGAGGAAAAAACATGACTCAGTGCCCTGCTCATCCTGCCTGCAGTTGAGCATTTGCAGTGACTAACACAATTCACCACGGGGATCATCTCACCACCACCACCACCACCACCAGTGTTGTAGCATTAATGCTATAAAGCAATCTGTCTTCCACTTGATCAGGTCTCTAAGCTCAAAACATGTTATATGAGACCAAAAAACAAGGCATGCTGACCACGTAGACATCGCGGGATTCTGATGAAAGTCTTCTAAATTAATTTTACAGAACTGAACGGATCTCTTGGGAACCTGCCCACTCGGCATGAGAGCTGAGAAAACTCAACTCGCTGCTGCCTCCCTGCTCCGCAAGCAACGCCCCTCAAGTCTGGCTCCTTCTAACGCATCCCAGCAGCACTCCATTGGCATCACCTGCCAGTGTGTGAAGGCAGCCTCTGGGGCCCCATCTCAAGGAGCCCTGGTAGCAAAGCGGGAACATGTTGAGCTGCTAACACAAGGCCAGCAGTTCAAACCACGAGCTGAGCTGAGGCTGGCTGCTCCTGCAAAGATCGACGAGTCCGAAAACCCAAAAGGGCTGTGCAAGAAGCTGAGCAGCGTTTCACCAAACAGCCCCAGAGGTACACCAGTAGGCCCACAGGTGATGTCCACCTTCCTGGGCCCAGTGCCCCTGAGACACTCTTTGCTCCGGAAGGGACTGGCATTTGTGTTTCACCTTCGCCAGAGAAGGAGAATGACCCCTCTTTCTACCCTATTTCCCGAAAGTAAGACATCCCCCCAAATAAGACCTAGTTAGTTTTGCCTCTCACTGAAATATAAGGCATCCCCCTGAAAATAAGATCTCCCCAAAAACAAGGACCCCCAAAGCTACCGTAATTCTGGACTCTGGACCATAGCAGCAGGCCCCGCCACACAGCTCACTATTGGCCATAGCGCAGCCGGAGCAGACAGGAAGTCAGAGGTTTCTTTTAATAAAACAACAAACAATAAATGTGTACCGTATTCTTCTTCATGGAAAAATAAGACATCCTCTGAAAATAAGACCTAGTGCATCTTTGGGAGCAAAAATTAATACAAGACACTGTCTTATTTATGGGGAAACAGGGTAGGAGCACCTATATGACACACCCAAGACTGTTCATGAAACATTATGTCAACTTCCATGAACTCCTTCTATGAGAGACAACAATTGGGCCGGGCTGCTCACATGCTGGTTAGAAATGTCTTGATTTGTGACTGCATAACCCCACTCAAAGGGAACGAATAACAGAGCTATAGGTGAACGAATACATTTGGATAATGTGAGATACAGCAAAATAATAATAATAAGGGTTCCTGGGGTCGGGGGGAACGTGGGGGAGGGAGCAGATAAAGAGGAGCTGCTATCAAAGAGTTCAAGAAGAAAGAAAATGCCTTGAAACTGATGGTGGCTACAACTATACAATTATGCTTGATCTCATTGAATGGTGGATTGTGATCATGTCTGTAAGAGCTCCCAATAAAGTGATTTCTTTAAAAATGCATTTATTTAGTGGCTCAGGCTGGCCAGCACTGACCTGGTTCACTTGGTCTGGAGAGGTGGGCCCACACTCGGCAGTCCCCAGAGTCTTCCAGCAACTGGGTGTGCCTCCTCTTCTTGGCTGGTGGCAATGAGTCTCTAAAGTCAAGAAGCCAAAGTGAAGGTCAGGCTCCTCTTTGCTCTCAGCAGTGTACAGTCAAATTCAACTGCCTGGGTCTCTCCTCTCTAGCTTCCTCATTCCAGTTAATTGAGGTTCCTCGAACCCTGCTGCCTGGGAACTTAGTTTTCCTCTAGCCATGGGATCTGGAATTCACTTGCTTGAAAAGTAAACCAAGAATAGTCAAAACTAGAGGGAGTGGAAATAGAGAGGATATGGATTTAAGATATGACAAGACATTGTACACCAGAAAATTTTGTTCGCATGATATTTTGCCAAACCTTCTGATGGCTTTCACTCCTGTGGACATCCCCAGTTTCCAGAATAAGGGGCGCAAGGGAGGAAAGAGGGGGTGCAGCGAGAGAAACAAGAACAGAATTTCAGTTACTGCTTCCTTGACAGATTTGCTTCTCAGCGCTCATTCATAAATTCCCTTGAGTAGTCTAGCTGAGGGGCATAAACAAGCAATGTTTCCTCCACCACTCAGGATCTCTGACATGTTAACTTTTAATTGAATGAAGACCTCCAGCCTAGTGGATTTTAATTAACATTGTATAAAGTCCGGCACTTGGAGAGCTTGGCACATCTGATACATGTATCAACAGTGACATCTGCTGGACAGGTTCCACTACTCATCCTTTCCACAATCACTGCTCAGGGGCCCTAACTGCTCTAAGGGTTCCTGCTGTGTGGTCTTTGATAGGGAAAACCTTGTCCTTTACCCAGGGCTGTGGCGCAGAGGCTGGTGATGGTAAGCACAATTCATCCCCGGGTGAGAGGATACAAACTGGTCCAGAGGAGTGGTGGGGTGATTGGTGCTTGGATAGCAGCCATCATGAAAGTCACTGTGGCTGTGGGCAGAACTGCTCGTTTCAGACGAGCTCTGGGGCAGCTGCGCAGGCACCATGCCAGGGGCAGCTGCAGGGTGGGCACAGGTAGCTGGAGTCCTGCCATCTGTAGGTGCCAGAGTTGGGTAGTGTGCACCTGGGGGAAGACACAAGTGAAAAGCGCCACTCTTTCTCACCGTTCCAGGTCCCAGGAGAACAAGTGCAAGACGGGTGACCGCTGCATCCCACTCACCTTGGATCTGTGGAGGCGAGCATGGGTCTGATGCAGAGTATGGTGGGGTGTCTGGTAGCTGGCGTTGCCTGAGGATCAGAGACATGTGTTGCTTTTTGTTTTAATCTCGTCTGTTATAGCTATCACACACACACACACACACACACACACACACACACACACATCACAAGCAGGGGGTAGTCCTCAATAGGCAACACCCGCCAGGATGATTATCAGGTACTCCCAAGAAGCCAAGAGCTGCTCAGACAATGCCCAGCGTCATGTTGGGGTTAAGTGAGTAGACTTTGAGTCACATAGACCAGCTGTACTTAAATCCTAACTCTGCCATTTCCTAGTTCCATATCCAGGGCCAAGTATTTCACCTCTCCAAACCTCAGTTTCCTCACCCGTGCCGTGGGAATAATTAGGACAGCCTACCTTATAGCATGGTTGTAAGAATTCGATGAGATCATGTCTGCAATGTCCCAAAATAACAAGTGCTCCAAACTCTTAACAATATGATTGCTGCTTAACACTCTCAAAGCACTTCTGGCACATGCTTTGGGGGCGAACGTAATCGAACACACCGTCCCTGAAGCGCTGGCTTTCCATCTGCATTAGGAAGCCACGGCACTCGTGACTGGAACTCCATGGGTTTCACAAATGGCTTGCGAATGCCTGCGAGTAAGCGCAGAGCCTCGATCTGCTGATCTGTATGGAGATGCCACATAGAATGGTGCACTCCTGTTCCAGTCGACCTCCAAGCGACCTTGCACTCAGAAAGTCTGGGGTTTTGAGTCATATGCAAGCAAGATGACCCCTCACAAACTTGATTCTCTTGCTTAGAGCGTAAATTCTCTTGTTTTTCCGGGCAGACTAGGATGCCAACCTAATACAAGCAAGAGAAAAGTCTGTTTTGGATAATTCACTGAAAATGTTGTGTCTTCCCTCTGAATTGGGCCTTTGTCGTTTATTCACATCCTATTCCTCAGGGGAAAGAGGGCAGACAAGGTAAGCTTCAAAAGGATCGTGGAAACCCTGCCGTGTCTGTGATTCCACATGTGCCATGAACTTTTTGAAGTCCTCTGTGGTAGTTAATTGATATTAGGTCAACTTGAAGAAGATGTATGAACGTAGAGGGCTGGAATCCAGCCTGTCAATCAGGTCACAGCCTGACGATGCCTGCTTGGGGGCGTGGCCTTCTTATAAGCAGGGGAAACTGGACACCTCCCTCTCTCTCTGCCCTTGGCTTTCCTGCTTGTGGGGACTCCGCCCCTGTCCCTGAAAGCTGCTGGTGCCCTGCCATGCTTCCTCCGACCTTGGATCTACCCAACTGTGCACTGTCCAGCCTGTGAGGGCCCTGCGTTCTGCAGCACTGCAGGTGGCTATGTTGAGTCTATAGAGCAGTGATTCTCAACCTTCCTCAGGCCGCGACCCTTTCATACCGTTCCTCATGTTGCGGTGACCGCCCAACCATAAAGTCATTTTCGTTGCTACTTCAGCACTGTCATTTTGCTACTGTTATGAATTGGGCGACCCCCGTGAAAGGGTCATTAAACCCCCAAAGAGGTCTCGACCCACAGGTTGAGAAGTGCTGCCATAGAGGGATGTGCAGACTCGTATTGCACTCATGAACTTCAGTTGGACTGGACTGGGATGTTTTCTTGATATCTAATTACTTCTTGAAATAAAGCAGGCATCCTCAAACTACGGCCCGTGGGCCACATGCGGCCCGCCGAGGACATTTATCCAGCCTGCCAGGTGTTTTTGCCCCATTTGTTTTTTTACTTCAAAAGAAGATATGTACAATGTGCATAGGAATTTGTTCATAGTTTTTTTTTTAAACTATAGTCTGGCCCTCCAATGGGTCTGAGGGACAGTGAACTGGCCCCCTGTTTAAAAAGTTTGAGGACCCCTGATATAAAGCTTTCTTATACATGTCACTGGCTTTGTTTCTATGGACAGACCAGACTAACACACCCCTCATACATTTGATCTCCCTCCAAAACCTCCATCTAAATGAAAGTGAAAAAACAAGAAGCAGCGAGTGCATGCGTGGGTATCACATTTCCACAGCGCTGTGGCAGGCTGGCATAGGGTGGGTGCTGCCTGGATTAGCAGAATGGAAAGATACCAGTGTGACTGCCAGGGGATGGGGGAGGGGGCAAGAGAGCCCATCAGAAGTCATCCTATTTGAACTCCAGAAAGGCTCAAAGCACTGGCATCCCCAGGAATTTCTGAATTCTGCAGTGAGGGTTAGGCTAGAAAGAAAGGGATTTGTGGAAAGCTGGACTCAGAAACGGTTGAATCCTTAAATACACTTCCCCAGGCTTCAATCAGGCGACAACCTCCATCACCTAAGAGAAGTTGGAACGGCTTTCTCACTGGGAAACTGAGCCCCAGCGCCCAGAAGCACAAGGCTGCCCGGTGCAGTGGAGGTCATGAATAAGCTGCTAGGCTAAAACGGAAATGACTCATCAAGTCTCAATGGAAAAGTATGAGACCTTGCCACAGCTCTTCATGGTGTGAATGCACACAGACTTCTCCCAGGTCGGAAAAGGGAAGATTATGCCCTAGAAAAATGGAATGTCCACAGGGGGCGGGGCAGGGGGAGATAACTCCAAAGTTACCCTCCAAAAAAAGTCCCTGGTTGATCATCCAACCTTTGAGAACAATGGCATGAAGACAGAATTTCTTAAACCGGAACAAAGGAACATATCATTTCAGCAGGCCTTTAGCATAAAAGAGAGAACCAACAACCAGAGAAATAGCAAATGCTAAAGAATAAAAGCAGGTTCTTCTGTTTCTAATCTGCTAGTGCACTCTGACCAGATGTGACCCTCCCACGGATGAAAATGTATAAAACCCAAAACCAGACTCACTGCCATCAAGTGGATGCCAACCCCTATCGGCCCTGAGTACAGGGTGGAAGGGCCCCCGGGAGTTTCCGAGGCTGTGACTCTACAGGAGCAGAAAAGCCCATCTTGCTCAGACAGAGCCCCTGATAGTTCTGTGGCAGACCGTGTGGCTCCACTTGACCAAGCACGGTGACCTTGGTCACGGTGGGACCAGCCTCTCTGAGAACATGTCCTAAGACGAAGTCTCCTTCCTCCTCTTTGCCTCGAAGGAGCATTCTGGATGTACTTCTTCCAAGATAGATGGTTTCTTCTTTGGCAGTCCATGGTACTTTCAAGTTTCATCGTCAACACTATATTTAAAGACATCTATTTTTCTTCAGTCTTCCTTATTTGATGTCCAACTTTCACATGCATATGAGGCGACGATAAATACCGTGGGATGGGTCAGGTGCACCTTAGTCCTCAAGGTAATCTCCTTGCTTTACAGAGGTCTTGTGCAGCAGATTTACCTAATGCAATGTGTCCTTTGATCCTTAACTGCTGCTTCCATGAGCAGTGATTGTGGATCCAAGCAGAGGAAATCCTTGACAACTTCACATGGGTCTCCATTATCATGGTCCAGTTGCACGGATTGGAGTTTTCTTGACACTGAGTTGTAGTCCACACCGCAGGCAGGCTACAGTCCTTGATCTGCACCAACACATGCTTCAAGTCCTCCTCACTCTCAGCCAGTAAGGTTGTGTCCTCTGCATACCTAAGATTGTTAGTAAGCCTTCCTCCAACCCGAAACCGCACTCTTCTCCATATAATCCAAGGATCCATGTAAACTCAGGATCCCTCATGACCCTGTCAGGTAAATGGTGGTCTGCTAACTGCAAGGTTGGTGGTTCACACCCACCAGTCACTTCATGGGGAAATATGACGCAGAATTCATATAAATCTGAAGAGTGAACGTCTTGGAACGTCGGGATGAGTGCGAGTAGACGCCCTGACAGCGGGGACCTTCAAAACTAAGCAAACAGTTAACGCAAAGCTCTGATTCACGTTAGAAAAACACCATGTTTGAAGTTGTTTCAGAGCTGCTCAACTCCTCCCGACTCACGAGGAATCCCTGCACATCAAATGGGCGCTGACCTTTATGCCCTGAATTTGTCTGACAGGCCAAGAACATCCACAGAATTCATCTAGGAAGCAACAGACACCAAGAGTCATGTTGAGAGTAGCCATTGTTATCTCTAGCTATGCGAGAAACCGCTATTAAAAATCAGATGATTGGTGGCTACTGGCAAAAAGAAAAAAATAGAATAATGGAAAGCATGGGTTCCACTTGGCATCAGGCCTTCGAACTGGTTCGACTCGCAGCTGAAAATGGGCATTTCCACTCCAGGGATATTGAATCAGAATCTACATTTTAAGAAGCTCCTCAGATGATTCTAATAGATTCGTGTAGATTTTGATTCAGTACATGTGGGGTGGAAATGCACATTCTCAGCAAAGGTCAGACTGGAATGAACTAGTCAGAGCCCTGCTTGGCATAAATGCCTCCTATCTCTCTTCCTCTCTGGTGTGTGTTTTTCCTTGTGGAGGATGAATGAAGGAACAGAGTGTCCTAGAGGTTGAATGTCGTGCAGAGAAAATGCAGAATAGATGTTGGCCTGTAGCCAGCTGAGGTTTCAAGTGCTTCCGAGATAGCCGCATGCTGCCCTCAACAGTCACTGTCTTCTTCACACCGCAGCAGGCGCCTTCAGGGATTTACTGTGTTAGTCCAGTAGACTAAAGAAACAAATCCACAGACACTCATATGTATATAAGAAACAGTTTTATATAAAGAGTAATTGTACAGTAAGAAAACATCCCAGCCCAGTCCAGATCAAGTCCATAAGTCCATACTAGCCCATATGTCTGATACCAATCTATGAATTCCTCTTCAGACTCACACAAAACATGCAATGACTCCGGATGCAGGAAGATCATAGGCTAATAGGTGTAAAGTCTTGTGGATCCAGTGGTGATGGAAGCATCTCGGCAATGGCGTGGGTCTCCATGTGGCTCCTCCAGCTCCAGGGCTCTGGCTCCACTAGTGTGTCCCCATGCGGCTTGTCTCACAGAGAGACAAGCAGAGAGTCTGTGGATCTGGCCTCCAGGGAGCTATTTATCTCCGTGACATCTCTAAATGAGGTCATCAAGCTCTGACCTGATTGACAGGCTAGACTCCACCCCATTCACATGTTGACACCAGATTATGTAACTGCCACATTTACTGAGTGCCTCATGTGTTCCTAGCTGTACTAGGCACTATGCAGGACATGCACACAATGTAAAGAATTATAGCTCAAGTCAATAAGGACAATGAATGTAATATTCATATGACTGCCCAGCTGGGACTATTCACAATTTAATAGGCCAATTCTCATCTTTCTTCATACACCACCAGAATTCCCTTCTCTAAAGCTCTATTGTACTGCACACTGACTGTCACTCAGCATAGTGCCTGGCACAGAGTTGGTATGGATTCCTCCTTTTACACTACACATGGCCATGCATACGGCTGCTGTCAGATTGATTGTGACACATACCAACCCCATATGGAAGGCAAAATGAGGCACTGCCGGGTTCTGAACCATTTACACAGCTGGTGCTACATTCAGCCCTTTGGTGCAATCAGTGTGTCAGTCCGTCTCATGGGGAATCTTCTTCTTTTTTGCTGACCCTCTAATTTACCAAGAGTGATGTCCTCTGTGTGAGACTGGTCTCTCTTGGTAGCATGTCCAAGTCGGAGAGATGAAGCCTCGCTGTCTTCCTCCCATCTATAGAGCATTCCAGCTGGGCTTCCTCCAACACAGACTGGGTCTT